GTCAAAAGCCAGAGCTGGAGCTTGAACCAAAGTCAAGAACAAAGAACCAGAGATGCCAAGGGCCTTACCAAAATCAGAAGCTGGAGTCAGAGTCTGGAATCAAAACCAGAGAATCAGCAAGGGAGCACGGACGGTCAGGAGCAAAAACTTTCACCTTTACCCAGATAAGGAGACTTCAGGATGAGCCTGGCTTTTATGGGGCCTGTTGCTTGCAGCTTTAGAGGACTGGCTGCACTGACTGGCTCACTCAGCCCAGCTAGGGCTCTGGGCTTGCTGCAGGTGGTGCTTGTTTAAGGGATGAATTGTCCTGATCTCCTGAATGCAACCAACTGGAAACAGAGTTCTGATTCAGCCTAATTACAAAGAGCTGGACACCTTTGCCATTTACCTCATTTACCTTGGAAGGCATTTTCCTACCTGATTTCAGATAAGACTGAAAGGCCTATAAAATAAGGGTATAAGAGTGCAGTCCCCCTAGCTCCCTAGTGCCCTAGGAACTTGTTCTGAGGACTTCCCATTAGATAGATTTGTATGGGCTTCCCCAGCCTTCCCTCCCTATCCCTGCAGGACTCAAAGACAAAGCATTTCCCATAGGAGAAAGGATTCTTGCAAGTTGTCATAACCCAAAGGTATGATTTTGTGTGTGCTTCGGCACTAGAATTATCCCCGCCAAATTACAGCTTCGTTGCACAGTAGAGTTTTCTGCTGCAGAGGAGAACCCCGGTGCAAGGAAGAGTTTCCCGCCAATTTGTGGCTTCCTTTGCAGAGTGCATTGCTCAAGTTGCAAGAGAAATGCACGGTGCAAAGGAGTTCCCGCCACCCGCATGCAAATTGGTTCCCCGCTATTGGCTAATTCTAAATTATTCCCACGTGGCGGCTAACGATTGGCCTGTTAGCCGTATAAGAGGCTTGAGCGTTTTCCGCCCAAGCCGAAGAGGACTCCACATCCATCTCGTGGGGACTCTGGGTACACGGCAGGGTAATAGAGACCCTGTGTGAGATTCAGAGGAGTTTGGCGACCTGATCTATCGCCCACCTCTTCCCGTCTTCGAGCGATAAATTTTATAAGACGTATCTACGAAGTTCCATTTCGGTGGCGCGCTTGTCCAGGGCATCCGGAGCTCTGTTTCCGTGGAGCCTAGCAAACTCCACGTAATCGTTCGTGTTGTTTTTGTCTGTAACTGCAACTCAAGCAAGTTTTCCAGCCTGCACTGCAACCATCTCCGGTGTAAGTAAACAATCTTTAAATCTACCGCTACGAGTCTGTGCCTAATTCTAGCTTGACGCGCGCCCGGGCTGCTGGCCACAGCCCGCGCAGAGCACAAAAAAGGGCCCGGCTCACGCCCAGCCCACGCACAAGTATAGAGGCATCTAGAGTGTTCATGATTCACTGCTATAATCTTGTCACAATACTTGGATCCAAGTGCCCTTGAACAAAAATGTCATCAAAATGAAAAAAAAGTTTGTTTGCCAGCAGACAGTAGAGCTATATAATGTCTTATCTAGTAAATCTAAATGTAGCAAAGAAGAACATAGGATGAGCTTTCGTAGGCTACAGCCTACTTCATCAGATGTAATCAGTTAAAGCAAAGTTTTCTTTCAGTCTAAAAGCAGGCATCAAGAAGTCCTGTATCAAGCTAAAAAGTGGTTGAGAAGAACAAAAGTTCAGTTGGCGCACACTGCTATTTTACGCCTTTGGTTAGAAGCTCAGGGAATCACATAGTTGCATACAGACTGGACAAAATGTCTCCGAATTTGGGCTCATAAAGCAGTAAAATGTTCAAAGGGACAATCATGCAAAGGAGAAGGATCATTTATTTAAAATGTTCTTGGAAAAGCACTCATTCTGATGAGAACTACACATGTTGGCATCTCTTGTTGAAGTGCTCACAGAAAAAATGTAGCTGTATAACACGGATAGCTATTTTCCCATGATCATAAGCAAAACACTGAATAAAAATACAAAAGAAGAAAATTATAACTGTCCTAACTACTGTTTGAGATGCACTGTAAATCTCATTTTCCACTCACAATGGTCTTCATTTTGGCTATGTTGATATTTAGAAAAATCAGTATCAACCCTGTGATGATGAAGTACTAAAAGCATATAAGCCCCGTCTGTAGCAGCACTTATATTTCTGGTAGGAAAGATTAATCTTCAGCATTGCTAAAAATGAAAAGACATTTTCCTAGTGTGGACAAGTTGCTGGACATCTAAATACGTGCAATCTGAACAACATTTTCAATTGTACAAACTAAATAAATATATGCGTACTAGTATCTATTTTAGTGGGGTTTTTTTAATCTGTATTCTGCCCAGTAACTCGCATCTAATCACTAATATATAGAAACAAAATAATTAAACTGATTACTGTTATTATGCAGTAATTATTCTACAAGTCAAACACTTCTAAACACCTTAAAAAAGTATTCCAATTGCATCAGGCAGAGCACCAAGGGATATAATAAAAATGGACTGGGAAAACACACAGTGATGACAACTGAAACTTCCCAAAGCACACAAGAATATCATCCAAAACCAAAGGCATAAAAAGCCAAACACCTCTGGTTTGTGATAAATTAATTTAAAGGCTACTTTTCTCCATTTTTCAATTTAGGAAAACGTTCTGAGATAACTGATTCGGACTTATGCTTAGGGACAGGATTTACATAAACACTAAGTGTAGGCCTAATACAGATTCCATAGAAATTCACAGGAGTTAGATCAGCCATGAGCATTTTTGTAAATCCCTACACTTGTTTAAACTAAGAAGATACAGATACACCACATCTCTTTGCTGATTTTGTATAATAAAGCAACTGTGACCACATTTCTCTAGCAAGACAAAACAACTTAACTAACAGCAAAACACTACAGAAACTATTTATATTTAGAAATTTTACTGTAACCTTTGTAATACATATCAAATAATAAAACTACTGAATTGAGACTAGTAATCATATAATTGTTCTTAATATTTAATGGATTTTTTCAAAAAGTGATGATAGATTAAATAGGTCAAGACAGAAGGAGATGACAGATTAAACAGGGCAAAAAATAAAATAAATAAAAAATACACCACACAGCTCTGTAAAAGATGGAATTGATCACTTCTGATGAACCTCACATTTTAAAGTAAGAGTAAGAACACCAAGGTGCTTTTCCTTAGACTGCAATCAGTACAATTAGCTGAAGAAAGTATGCATGCTTTTATTATAGGCCAAAGGACTGTTCTCCACAAAAATGGAAAGGATGCAAGATTTTCCATTTATATATAATATTAATACAGAAACTTTGTAAGGGGTTAAAGAAAGTTGAATATCTGTTTTACAATAATTCAGACCCTGAAAAGATTTATAAAAGATTCAGACCCTAAAACAAATTCCCAACATTACCATGTACCTGAAAACCAGCACAAATTTTGTTAATGTTTATCCGTTTTCTACTGTAGGCTACTATACAGAAAAGGATATTTCATCTGAACATCTGAAAGGTGCCATCTTATCCAAAAATCTGCTGATGCCTGATACCAAAACTGAAATAAAATCACTAGTGTCCTTATTTTGGCCAAGCTATTTCATGTATAAGTCTTAATAAATGGCAACACATACATGAAAATCATGAAATGCAGTCTCACATACATGAAAATATTTTTCGTAAGTACAATATGTATTTAATCTGTCTGGTATCCACTTATATAAGAAGTGTCTGTTTAGAAAAATGAAAACAAAGGATGGTTAGAATCACTGTTCTGTGGAGAACTTTTTAAATGAATGTAGGTTGTGACTCCTTACCACTGGACTCAACTGGTGCTTTGCCCTTGATCGCTGTGGGAATAAAGTTGAGTCCTGACTGGCTCATAAGAAGTGCTGAAATGAAAAATCTTTGGTATACCCATAGAAAAAAGTGCAGCACAAAAAGAGCTGGACTGAAAATAGCTCTCAACACACAACTGCAAACAAAACTGAAAAAAAAGTCTCAACCTTAACACTTTTAGTTAACTCTATTTCTTCTTTATACATATGTAATAACTTGATACATGTTTCACCTACACATATAACCTTCTATACTACTCCTAATCATACCAGTAAAAACAGAATAGCTTCCCATGCAGAAAGTGACTGGGTTTAAACGGTCACACTGCCCCAAACTGTGCCTCAACATGAAGCTGGAGGGACCCTTGACAAATCTGACTCTTAGGCAAGATTTAGATCTCTTTCAAACATGGAAGATTTTGGGGGGGGGGAATGGGGATGCGGGATTCATTTTCAGATACAATATTTTAAAACAATAAGTAAGATAGGAGCAATTGTATTTCTCAAATTATTAATTTTAGAAATTAATGTACATAATTGATATTTGATACATATCAATTATATACATTGATATGTATCTGAATTATACATATACGTCAGATAGCTGAATTATATTTCAAATTCAGAAACTGTTTTGTTTACTTTTTGCAACTTTTTGAGAGGCTTAAAGAAAATATGAGATATAGCCCTGGGCTGGGTACCATAGGAAAAGAAAAAGTATCTACAAGTTGTTTTTTTAAAAACCTGTATTTAAAAATTAGAACATATGCAATATTTTAGTAGAATATTAAAAATTGCAACACTAGTATCTGTTATGTTTTACATACCAGAGTATTACATTTCTACAATACCTTATTAGAGGAAAACCTACAAAGGAAATTGAAATAAAGCTGACAACATAGGCCTTTGATGCCTACAGCTGTTAGGTGCTCAAGACTCCACTGCCAGTCAATATGACTTTAAAGCTGAAAAGCACCACTAAAGCAGGCCCTTGCCCTCACTTCTGCTCTGGGGATTTTTAAAAAGTAACAGAAATATTTCTGTTGTTTTAAGTTTTTGGGAAAACTTTTATAAATCTTAGGGAATATGCACAGGTCCCCTTTCATGTTTAACATTTATAGAACTAACATTAATCTTTTTTTTTTTTTTTTTCTTACAATGGACTGTCTTATATAAATACTTACAGAAAAATCTTTCAGATTTTTTTCATAAGAGAAATGAAAGTAGTCTGCATTTTCTTCATCTTTAGAAATATCGAAGTTATATATATTAGCTGGTCTTGCTTCTAATACCAGTGCTTTCCTCAGTTCTTCAACATATTTTTCTCTTTCCATTTCCATGTCAGCAGCTTCCCTAGAAATTTCAGCTTCAGAAACTGTGCAAAGAAAAATTACAGAAATCATATGTACATGGGAAAAGTAAACAAACAGATAAACAAATAAATAGGGAAATTATTCTTCCCTTTATGCAAGCTCATAATATCCATGGATACTAATAACAACGCAGCAAGAATAAGCATTTAAACAAAATTTTAAAAGTTTATTAACTGCTGAATGTAATGAATCTGAACAGAATCGATAAAAAAGTGCCTATATAATATGATCTAGGTCATGATCTACAATTCATCAAGAAGGTCATTTATTTTTTTTTAATTTGTTCACAGTAATTTCACTTTCCAGTTACATCACTGATCTTCTGCTTAAAATACAAAAACCCCCCAAATCTTAAATTGTCAAGTACTAACTAAACAGGAAAAAATCACATCACTAATGCAGGCTCCCAGCATCTGTAAGAATGAGCTGTGGAGACAAGAGCTGTAGCTTGAGCTGGACTGAAAATAGCTCTCAACACACAATTGCAAACAAAACTGAAAAAAAAGTCTCAGCCTTAACACTTTTAATTAACTCTACTTCTTCTTTATAAATATGTAATATCTTGATACATGTTTCACATACACATATAAGCTTCTATACCACCCCTAATCATACCAGTAAAAACATAATAGCTTCCCATGCAGAAAGTGACTGGGTTTAAATTACCACATTCTTCTGCTCTTCATTTTCTTGACATTTCAGGTAATCTAGTATTGCAACAGAAGAACTACTCATCAGATCAATTGCCCAAAAATATGGCAAGGAGTGAGTGGACAATTATTTGCTAAAGATATATATCCCCTCCTGTCCTCCTGACCTTAATAAACTATTTTTGATGCAGTTTTGCACATCTTTTTGTATCAACTATGATAAATGAGATGAAACTAGAGATTTTTTTTTTTAATTTTAAGTCAAGTGATAGCAGATTTTCAGTCAGAAAGCAGCCATTAATTTACATATATGCATATATACAAATCAGGTACGTTCACACCAAAATCTAGATAAAGGCCTCTCCTCAGGACTGCAAATCAAATGTTTATGCAAGTATGTACAGTTCATGCACAAAAATGGGACCATTTTCTGACTGGGTTCAAAATACTGGTAGCATCTTTAGAAAATAAGTAATACTGAAAATTGTGACAAATAGTAAGAGACAAAAGGAAAGTGGAAATGCCCAGGTTTTGTAGTGCTCAGTAAAACCTGAATAAAATGTAGCTGAAAGTTTCAGGAATTTTCAGCCTTTGGTCTGCTCTGAATGGAAAGCCAAGGCATTTATAATATTAAGCATGAGAATGCCAGCTAAACACAGCTAAAATACTAGCAAATGATAATCTCCAGTAGAATTTGGTCACCATCTTAAGAAAGATTCTAACTCTGTAGCCTCACCTATGCTTGCACAGCCTATTAAGACAGATCCAGCCAATAATGCCCCAATTAATGGTCCGGTTTGGGGACACATGAATCAGAATACATTAGCATCAAAGTCAGATCAAAATGACATAAAATGGGGTAGTAAAAGTGGTGGAGGAAGAGAACTAAACTGGAACTTGTCCTTTATTTTCTTTAGTAATCGTACCAACAACTTGAAGCTAATTCACAACCAGCTGAAGCTCCTTGCACCAAGGAAAATTACCTGTCAGTGGAATTACTCCCATTAAGCAAATGTGTAAAGTCTTTGCAAGATCAGGGACGTACAATAAAAATAGTCTTCGTCTTGAGAAAATGATGACCAAACATAAATGAAAGATAGTAAAATATGGCATCTGTTCATCAGTGAGTGATGGTGGTACTACAGCTATTCTAATGACTGGTGGTGCATTTTCTCTTGTGGCTGTAGAGGCTGATAGACTTGCAGGTCCTGCCACAGTGGTCACAGGTATACATGGTGTTAGGGGCTACTGTACTGACAGGATGTTTCTTTCGGTCACATTGCTGTTGTAATTCAAGTGACCATTTCTCGTCATGATGTTGGACTCCATGATTGAGAAGGGAGCACCACTTTGTTATGTCTCCAAATAAGGATTCCCAAAGGTTTGGGTCAATTCTAAAAGCCTTCATATCCTGTTTGCAGACATCTTTGAAGTGAAATTGTGGGCACCCTACACTTCTCTCACCATCTGCAATTTGCCCATATAGGATGTCCTTTGGGATATGCCCACCTTCCATCCTGCAAAGATGCCCAGGCCAGCATAGGCACCACTGTTTGAGTAATGAAGTGATCGTTGACAGGCTGGCTTTGGTGATGACCTCTGTGTTGGTGATTCTGTCTTGCCACCTGCTGTCAAGAATGTACCATAAACAGCATAGGTGAAAGCTATTCAGCTTCTTTTCTTGATATGAATATATTGACCATGTCTCACCCAGAATGCAGGCTTTGTACACAAACAGCTTAGTTTTGATTGTGAGTTTTCTATTGTTCCATACTAATTTAGAGAGCTTACTGAAAGTGGTAGCTGCCTTTCCAACTTGCCCACATTTAGCTTGCCCACATTTAGCTCTTCCATCCAGTGATAGGTTGTCACATGCTGTGAATCCGAAGTAGCAGAACTTGTTCACTGCCTCAAGGAGGTGTGTTGTCAAGGCTGATAGATGGTGACTGGCAAGCACCCCATCCTAAGACCGCATCTTCTTGATGCTGATGGTCAAAGCAAACATCCTGCAAGCATGGGAGAGGCGATTGCTAAGTATTTATACTTGGCCTTCTTCATGGGCAGTGAGTGCAGCATCATCAGCAAAATAAATGGAGGAGACAAAACTTACCCTCAATACTTTTCAGTTTTGTTTTCTCTTAAACTAAATCCAACAGTCATCAGCCAAGAACTTAAAAGATAGCTGACTTTTTGTGATAGAAGTGGACCTCAAATAAGAGTTTGAAGGAGAAGGTAGCAGCCTAAGATGTTTTTCCTGACTGGAAAGGGATAATATGAAGGAGTAGGAGAAGAGTTTGTGGGGGCATTAACAGAACACAAGGCTATCCTCACTGATACAGTGGGTAGAGAGTATAAAACAAGATGAAATGCCATTACTTAAATGGGAAAACTCCAGAAAAACAAAAAACAATAAGTAAAGAAACATTAATTTCAATGTTTCAGATTTTTTTGTTAAGAAAAAAGGAAAAAAAACCCACAAAATAATTGGGAGATGGAAACAAGATAAAGCATTAGTAAAAAATGAACATATCCCTAACAAAAAATAAAATTATGCACGGACTATAATAAAAGTTTTGTAGGCTTGTGTTTGGTTCATACTGTGTAATTTTAATACCTTTGTTAGGCTTTCCTATGGTTTAACATTTCTTAAACAATTAGACTTGCATGGCTTTTCATCATTCTACTACATACACTAGAACAATAAAGAAAACAATCCTTCATCAAGTCTTACTCACTTCCTGACATGGCTCGCCAGGTAAAATATTTCACAGTATGAGAAACGAAAGCAATTTCCCACAATAAAATAAACCTGACCACTTCAAGCAAATAACTCTAGAACACCTCAATTCCAAAATTTTTAAGTTGGGATCCAAATAATGTTTATTATGAATGAAAAAGATTGAAAACATGGTCCTAGGACAGGTCTGACTTCATGAAGCTGCAAGACTGAACATGCACAGTAGAAAATGTTATGCATATAGAATTCAATTCAGCTCCCACTGAAATCAGTTAATAGACTGGAAAGGTAATATGAATTATTGGAGATTTAGATCAATCCCTAACAGAGGAAGTAAAAGCAAACTTTCCCTTGGATGACTGTCTAGTGCTCATGCTAGACTGTCTTTTTTTTTTTTCTTCCTTGCAATATGTGATGTCATTTTGGTTTCATTCCATCGTTCATTGGGAAAGGATGTTATGCCAGTTCTGTCAAAAGCAAAAAGTGAATTACTGACTGAGCTGTAGTAGTTAGATTTTCTTTATAACAACAGCATATAAAACCAAGCATAATTTTTAAAGTTCACAGGCTATCTTAACAGAAAAACACTGAAAAAGTTTTTAGCCAAAAACATAAAAAAATTAAGCAAGTGCCTAGTTAACAATTAGAGGAAAAAAGATTGAGGCTTTGAGACTATTACACCTCATTCACCCTTGTAGGCAAGAGAGAATTCATATCTCCAGTATTACAGGCAGTTGGGCAACATTAGGCAGATGTATCCCTTTTACCCTATGCAAGAACTTCTAATTATACATTTAAAATACATGTGAAACACTTTTAAGCAAACCTAGTTTTATGCATCTGAAAACAGAAATGAGAAGAGACAGAGAAAAATATTATTAAAAAAGGTTAACTAACAAAGGGCATGTCTACACGAGATGCTTTACTGAGCAGTAGACTAATGTACTGCACAGTAAGGCATCACCATGTAACCATGTGCAGCAGCTCCTGCACAGTAAATAAGGCTAATACTTGGTTTTCTAATACCTGTAAATATAGGTAGATTAACTGTGCATTAGCTACTGTGCAGTACTGCTCATGTAAAAGAGCTATATGGCATAAGTAAAAGAGCCATGTGATTGCTCAGAACTCCAGTATGAAACTGGAGACAGGACTGTTGAAAGTCTCTGGGATAAGGTTAGAGGTGAGAGCAACAAGGGTGATGTTGTAGTGGGTGTCTGCTATAGACCACCAACCAGGAGGAAGCGGTAAATGAGGCTTTCTTCAAACAGCTACCAGAAGCTTCCTGATCATAGGCCCTGGTTCTCATGAGGGACTTCAATCACCCTGACATCTGCTGGGAGGGTAACACAACAGTGTGCAGGCAATCAAGGAAGTTTTTGGACAGTATTGGGGACAACCTCCTGGTGCAAGTACTGGAGTGGCCAACTAGGAGCCATGCTCTTCTTGACTTGTTGCTCACAAACAGGGAAAAATTGTTGGGGCAATTCCACTAGTAGTGGATGGCAATTTGGACAGCAGTGACCATGAGATGACTGAGTTCAGGATCCTGAGAAAAGGAAGCATGAAGAGCAGCAGAATAAGGACCCTGGACTTCAGAAAAGCAGATTTCAAC